ATAAAGACAAATAAAATGTATACAAGTACTTACTTCGCTTAACACAAGTATGATTTATTTTAATTCAACTTCTTAAATTGGAAAATTCATCCGTCAAATTTATTGTGTTTTTATATTTTTGAGATATACAAATGTATATATATGTCTCACAATTGATGAACAACGCTTTTCATCATATATATCAATTATACATATGACACAGAATATGCTTATACATACTTTTTACATTTAAATACTTATTTAAATTTAATTTTCTCTCTTCTACTCGTTAATATATTGTTATTAATATTTAAATCTATTTGCAACATCAAACTTAACAATTGGAATTATTCAAAAAGGGCATAACATACACTTACTGAAATATTTTAATATTGTATATGCATATGTATGTACATACATAGATCTCAACTGATTAAATTGTACAATAATACTTGAACAATATCGTTAACATCGCAAAAATACTTATAACACACAATATTATGATAATAGTGATGGTGATGATGATAACGATAAAATATACTATCGAATACTGGGTATTTTTTATGAGTTCATTTCTGGTTTAGTTTTTCATTTTAGTCTTATTTTTTGACTTTTTATAAAGTCTAGAATCAAATTTTCTCTAAAAAACAAAAACAGCGTTATTGAAGTACGCATACATATGTATTCATATGTGTAAGCATGTGCATATAAAATAATAAATTTATTTATAGCATTCGTATTACTTTTAAATTGAAAGGCCTGTCTTTTAATAAAAAATTTGTAGTTTGACTTCGATCATATTTTGCATAATAATAAAAATAAAATTGTTTTTATTTAGGTATGTATTAATATATAGCCGCTTTAAAGTTGCCTATGTGTATAATATAACTCAAAATAATTGAAAGTAAGCAAATAGAAAAAATAAAAATGAATAAAATATTTTATAAGATGATATTATAAGTAAGTAAAATAATAAAAGAAATTATATCTGAAGTGAAACGTTTTCTATGAGGAATGAAAAATATAAAAGAAAAAAATTAAATATTAAACGAAAAGCTTAAATTCAAAAAAACAAATACAATACACGACTATAAAAGCGAGGTTCACGGTGGTGACGATTGCGACAACGATGAAGCAAAACAATTTTTTCTTTTTTTTTTTTGACGATGATGAGAATTTAAAAATCTCAGTCACATAAGAATAAAAATTTTTCTTTTTGTTTTCTTTCTGTTGTTATAAGTTTCACTTTTTTTCTTTAATTTGTTATTATTTTTTATTGTGTTATATTTTAAAAACGTAAAATGAATAAAAAAAATAAAGAAAAAAGTAAGATAAATGGTCTTTCACATGGAAAAAAGATGGTCTGTTAGTCATAAAAATTGACTTTTGCTGACAATATTATTGACATTGGAAAATTAACTTCACGTTTGCGAAAAACGCACCACCTAATTCATGAAAATTCGTTATTTAATAATTAATTCGATTCTAACTTTTTGATATATCAATGTAAACGATAAAAATTAAAAAATTTTATTTAAAAAAATTGTATACATACTTGTGTACGTACATACATAAGTATAAATTGAACTGATCAATAAATAATTTGTTTTATGAGCATAAGATAACCTATCAAAATTAATAGTAAATTTCAGTCAGGAAAATTAAATATGTATATACGTAAGTACTTAATTTACCTTATTATTTTTCGTTACTTATTTTAACAACATAATAATATAAATTTTTAATATATCGGTTTTTAATATTGATCAAAACAAAAGGAACGTTGTGCTATACTTTTAAATATAATTATGTACTGATGAATTTATTATGAAAATGACTTTAGAACTCTATGACGCTTTTTAATCATTAAAGCCATAATAATAATTTTGTTTCAATTTTATTGGTTTTTTTTTTTTAATAAATCTTATAAAATGTCCCTTTGCATTAAAACAAAAATTATATTTTATGGCAATTGAATTGACGATATTAAATAAAATGTTTTTGTAATAATTTTTTTCTTCATATAAATTTGAAATTATTTTGTGTTTTTACGCCTTGCTTGGCTGAATGTGAAATATACTTAATCAGAACGATTATAGCTTAAGTAATCATTCGGTAAGTTGCTATTGGATAAAAGGGGGGAACACATTAAAATAAATAAAAGAACAAAAAATATATACTCGTATGTATGTGTATATATGTATTTTCTTCTTCGTTCTGAATTTTCACTTTTTTTTCTATAAGTGAGTGAATAAATTATAAATAGTGATAATACAATGAGGCAATATTTATAGTCAGGCACTCCGTTATTTATTGCAAAATAAACATTCAATTCGTATAGCTTTGAAATATTTACAATAAGTAGTTCAAATTAATTTTTAAAAATTAAACTAATGAAAAAATTTATCAAAAAATGCAATATTTCGATCTATTTCTATTATAAAATTAATTTTTTTTCTGTAGGTATATAATTTTTTATAATTAATCACTTATTAAAAAGTCCAAAAATATTTTTATGGGCGTCTAGATTTGTCCATAGTAATAAGAACTTGATCGGTCATAAAAGTTTTCTATTCAAATGAAGCAGTAATTGATTTTTCCGATTCGTTCTCAAGTCACCAACTTTTGCTCTTAAGCATTCCAATGAAATATATGATGACGGTTAAGAGCTGTAATAGATACCACTCTAATGAAATTAAAAATTTTCACTGTTTCATTTTTAATCTTTAAATATATTTAAGGCCTACTGAAAATATTCTTTGATAAACTTACTTTCGAAATAATGATCTAAAATACCACAATACATAAGTACTACATATTTATTTTTTCAAAACAAAATTTTTGAAATTTCCCAATTTTAAAAAAATAATGCTGAAAGTAAACTGAAACACGCAAAAAAAAAAATAACAAATTACCATAATCTATGTATTATAACTATGATTAATATTTAAGTAAGCATAACCACACAAGAAAATTTATTTAGCGTTAATTATATGGTATATTTAAAAATATAAAACAAATATAATAATAATTAGATTATATGTATGGATTTAAATACACAATGTTATATTTGTTGTAAACACAATGTACCTACAACAGTAATACTCAGCGTGTGTAAAATGAAATACGTAAGATTCATTTACTTATGTATGTTTGCGCATTATTTATTTTCTAAACCTTTAAACTATAAATTATTTTTTTATAAAGTTATGTATATATATATGTATAATCTTGATTACTTATTGTATTTATAGACAGTTATTCAAATTTTTTATGTCTAAAGCATGTATTTTACGAGATCTGTATAATATCAAATCTGAGAAAATATTACTGAAATTTCATTATTAAAATATTTTTGCCAAAAATGAATTAAAACAAAATTAAATCAAAGCAAAATCAAATGATTTTCACATTAATAATGTGATTTTTCATTTTTTTAGTATTTTCTTTTGTTAAGAATATTAATTCGCTAGCATTGTCAAATTATGAGAGCTTTTCAACTGAACTTACGATATTGATTCAGCACGTCCAACACATGATATACGGATTTTAAAAAAATCATTTAAATTTTCAATCATTTTAATTAATTTTCTCATAGAAAAATTAATATTTTCTTTAACAAAAATTACTTACAATATTTAATGAATTTGTTAAATTTTTAATAATTTCTTTAATTTCAAAATCTGTAGATACTTGTATGTATTATAACGTAATTACATATTTATTTATATAATACAATAAACAAAATTGTAGAACGATACAAAAAAATAGTTTTATGCTGAATTTCTTCAAACATTTATATATAAGTGTTTTTAACTGGAATATAAAAAAATGTTTTCATTTAAAAAAATAGCTTGGTAATATTTATACATATTTGGAGATTTATTCGAAGTACAATATAAATGTTTTTCATATATGTATGTATGTATGTAAGTACAAAAATTTTTCATAAAAATTTTATGATAAATTTTTTATATGTAAAACATTTTTAAGCCAGGATTACTCTTATAAGATTCTGTTACACAAAATTCGTTGTTGGTGGAATATCAGAATTGAAAAGATCTAGTTGAATATTTTCACCTGTGTTTATATTTATTTTTAATTATTAAATGTACTTATAATTACTTAATAATTTCATTGATATTGTATGAAATAGAATTAATTTTAAAAGTTTTAAGAAATTTCATTTTGTAATTTATTATAAAAGAAATAACAATTGTAATTATATGATATTAATTCAGAATGGTGAATTTTAAAGTTCTAAAACATTAATACCTATGTATATTATTTTTAAATTGCAAGTTTTATTTTCATTTGAGTAGCTGTATTTAAAAATGTACCTATGTATGTATAATAGATACATAAAAAAATAGACAAAATATACCAACCAGGGAATCTACTATTGAATTTATAAAATATTTATAAGATACATTATAAATTATTTTAGCCTTAAGCAAATACATTAATTGAATTTGTAAAAAGGGAAAATACTGGAATCTTGTTTAGTGACAAGTATGAAATTTATGACTTTTTCAGAAAGTAAAGATACAGACTTGTCGACATAAGTAGGCATATATTATGTACCTAATGAGGATTCGTTTTTTTTTTTTTAATTTTAAATCCTTGTAAGTTTCTTTTCCTTTTCAATTTGTACTTATTTAAGTGTAGAGAATTCAAATAGCTAGGGTAGGTATTCGACATACCTATCTGTTTTACGAAATGCATACTTGTGTATTTAGGGAGGTGTATAATTCTTACGTAAATAAGGTATAATGGGAGCTATACGATCTACCTATATAAGTATATTTTAATCTTAAATTGTGTTGCAGATAAATACTTATCATTGAAATTTAATTACTTACTTTGTTTTGTGTATTTTATAAAAAGTCTCATTGGATTGCCACTTAATCGAATTTTTATTATTGTAAATTTAATATAGATTAATTTTTTTCCTGGCTAAGTATATCTTGTAGTATTAAATAATAAGAATATAGATATTTTGCAAAATAATATATTTTTACCTTGATAAATGCGTTTCAGCTACTGCTTTAATTTTATTAAATTGCTTCTTCATTTTTCTTATATTTATACGCTTAAATGCAGGATTTATCCTAATTATTGTCAAATTTTTTTATATTGTACATACATTCTTATATAAATTTTAAGTTGTTTCATAATAAAAAAAATTATACAAGCATTTAGAATTTAGTAAGCACTTAAAATTTTTTTTTTGTTGAATTTATTGCATTCGAAAAAAAAAACAAAATCACTTTTAAAAGGGTCCTTGCACCAATAAGCACAAAATATTATGAGATCATCAGAATTTTTTCATAATTTTTCTTGTTTGAAAAAATTTTTCTGACACTTGCCTAGCCTATACTGTACCAACGAAATTCATTTTATATTCACAATAAATTTTTCTTATTGATTTTTTCCCAAATTATATTTTAAAAATGCTTAGATATACATAGCTAACTTATTAATTATAAATTGTATAAAATTTTTGTAGAAAAATTACGTTTGCATATTAAATAATCAACTTTTTTTTCAACACCATAACGCTAAAATTCCTTCGCAAACTAAATTAGAAAAAAAATGACTGCAAATTTTTTCCAAGTAGACAGAAAGCAAAATTATTTGCTGATTTTCTTTGTATGGCTTTTTTTACACTGGCTATTCCTATTGATTCCTATTCATCTGTCAAATGAATTTGTCATTCATAAATTTGAAGTTTACGAAAAAAATTGTGGTACATATTATATTAAAGAATGACATTAGCTTAAGGGTTTATATAAGGTATAAATTTCTATTTATATTTTTAAAGTGAAACGTCGGATACGGTGTAAATATTTTTATTTCAATTAAAAAGTAAGGATTTCTAAAACTATGTGTTGTGTTAGAAAAAACCCAATTATTAATAAATAAAGAACATTTTGAAATAGAAACTTAAAAAATAACTCAGTTAATTTTTAAATTTTTACAATCAACTAATTTTTCATTTTTGTTCTTATATACATATAAAAAATCAACTGAAAGAAATCGCATATGAAAAGTTGCTAGACTTTCATACAAATGAAATCAAATAACCGATGTCAGAAAACTCATTCATTAAAAAATTATAAACCCGCAGGCTAGTTTTTGATTAAAAAACAATTGAATTATTTTTTGACAACGTCAAAGTATATCTTGAAATTGATATAACTTCTCAAAAAATTAACTAGTAATTTTTGTTTAAAAAAATTATTATTTAACAAGAAAACTCAGTTAAAATTTTGTTCTGTTTCGTGAAGAAACTTTATAATTGTTACTGTTACGCAAGAACAAGATTCCAAATAATATACTGCTGTTGTTTGTGGTGGATTGTTTTGATACTTTTTATAGTAGCTCGAAGTTTTTGTATAGTGAGGATGGGCTAAAAATAAAACAAAAACAAATGGGAGAAAAGCATCAACATAAAGGTTCTATGGAGAGTCGTAATCGTGAAGGAGAGATAGGGTATTTTTACGTATGTATGCATTGATTGTGTGCACAAACTTCTTTTATACATCCAATTTTTACAGAAAATATGTAAATTTTTTTATTACACAGAAATTGTGAGAAGAGTTTAAGAAGTGATGTTCTCGCTGAATGAGTATACTTGTAAGCAGACAATTTTTATAGTGATTTAGTTGCGTACTATTTTGAATTGACAAAAAATGTTGACAATAAAATGACATCGTAAACAGCAGACGCTAACTTAAGTAAAAAGTTGACGTTTTCTAACATTATTTTGTTTACTTTTTTTTTTTTGAAAATCTGAAATATTCTAAAATAAATAAACAAAAGCATTTAAAAATTTTTGAAGCGCTACTACTATTTTATATATTATAAAATTTAAGCTAATTATGGAAACAAATTCTTCTGAATGCATCATTGAAATTGTTGATCAAACACAAATCTCAGATTCCGAGTTAGCTGAATTCGAAGAAACTCAACCAATAAAGTTAGAAGATATAAAAGAAGAAAGTGAAGAAATTCTCATAAGAAAATATATAAGCGGCGAAGCATCTTTTCCAACATACTATACTACATTACATGGTGATGAAGAAAACAGCGAAGAACAGTCGCGACAAACATCGCAAAATTCTTTAGAGGAAACTTTGGATGTGCCTACAATCGAAATTGAGCAGGACAGCCCATTGAAAAAGCGAGCAACAAAGAGAAAAACTGGGTTAAATCCAGCTTTGCAAGGTTTAATGGGGGAAGCTAATTTAAGCTTTGTACGAGGAAAAGTTGACATTGCAGAAAAAATTTGCCTGGAGATTATAAGGCAAAATCCTTTAGCTCCAGAACCTTTTTACACCATGGCACAAATATATGAAACTAGAGACCCTGAAAAATTTTTGAATTTTTCCACAATTGCAGCTCATTTAGATCCAAGTAACAAGGATCAGTGGATTAGAATAGCAGAGATAAATGTTGAAAACAAGAATTATAATCAAGCTCGTATACATTACTCAAAAGCTATAAAATATCACCCAAAAGATTATGATATTAGGCTTAGAAAAGGCAAATTGCTGGAAATGCTAGACGAAGAAAGAGATGCCATGATAACTTACTTACATATGATACAACATATCCCTGAAAATATGCCAGAGTTTTGTTTAGAGACTGCAAAACGTGTTGCAAAATATTATTATGAGCAAAATAAAATGTCATTTGCCTTAGAAGCAATGAAAATGGCTTATAAAAACGTACCCATAGCATTCTCCATTGAAGATTTAAATTTGTACATGCAACTTCTAATTATAAATAAAAATTATGTGCAGGTAATATTTATATTACGAGATCGGTGTAATGTTGAGATGAATTTAATATATAGTGAAAATGACAATGAGGTAATTGTAGAATCTTGTATAATTCCTGATGAGTTGCAGGCAGATCTAAGGGTTAAGTTATGCGTTAGCTTAGTGCATGCGAATGCTTTTGAATTTTTACCATATATTTTAACAAACTTTCGAAAATTTATATCAACGAAAGATGGAATTGATTGGTATATGGATTTAATAGATGCTTTAATGTTTAAACAAAGATATTTGGAAGCTTTAGAAATCATTCTTTTCGTAATGGAAGAAGAGGAAAACTCACCTGCATTGGTATGGTTACGAGCTGCGGAAGTGTATAGAGAGCTTAAACAGAATGAGGAAGCTATAAAATGTTACTATGAAGTTATTACCCTCGCCCCTCAATGTTACGATGCCAAATTTACTTTGTCAGCATTGTTGAAACAAGAAGGGCGGCATGCGGAAGCTGTTAAGGCTTTAGAGCAGGATATGAAAAATGAAATTTTGAATCCACGTTTGTTATATGAAAAATGTCTTATGCTAAAAACCTTTGGCGAAATTGATGAATATTTAGATGTTGCATATATTCTTTTATCACGACAGTCTCTGCGATTCCGAAGTCGCGAGGAATTAATTGCGTGGGCTTCTGCCGGCAATAATTTTAATCCAGAGACCTTAAAGACAATTTTAGCTAGCCGCTTAGAGGAAAGTACTTCGGAACCTGAATATGATGAAGCGGAAGCAAATTTATCTATGGAAGAAGAATATGATTTATTCAAAGATGCATCCAAAATAGCATATTCTAGAGAAAAATTTGGTAAACTAGAGAAATTGTGTTTTGCCATGGCAACTACAAAAAAATTTAAAAACAAATTTCGGGAGCTTGAAAAAAGTATTATACTATCATGTTATTATAATGACGATCATATAGCATCTTTCCTATTTTTCCGAGAGATTTTAGTTAAAAATTTAAATAACAATGGATGTTGGAATTTTATGAATATACTTATTCAGAATGGTGAAGAGTTACGTTATCATAGGTTTTTGAAAAGAGTATTGTCCAGAGGTAATACACCAAAGTATTTAAAAATACTTTTAGCGAATTATCATATGTGTGCTACTTCATATAAATACGCTTTAGATATATATGCGTCAATTTTCAAAGAAATTCATGATCCTTTGGTATGCCTTTTGATTGGAGTTTGCTTTGAACAAATTTCCTTACAAAAAAATAGTTTGAAAAAAGCTACTGGAGTTGCTCAAGCGGTGAGTTTTATGAAAAAATATTCTGATTTGAGAATGTGTTCTAGCACTAAACAAGAAATTTTATATAATTTGGGAAGACTTCATCATCAAGCTGGAGTTATTTATTTGGCTTTACATTATTACCAACTAGCTTTAGAGGTTAAAGATCCATTTGTTGAAGAACATTCAAATATTTTAGGATTAGAACAAGAGATTGCGTTTAATATACATTTAATATATAAAGCACAAGGAAACATAGATATGGCTAGAAAATACTTGTATAAATATTGTGTTGTTTAGTAATTCAAAATAAAGTTAAAATAGTATAATTTAATTTTTTTTTAAATTCTCAAGATGGTAATAACGGTTTGATGTTAGAAACTAATTAACTTAAAAATAATTTCAATTAAACGTTCATATGGAAGGTAGAAATTTTGACAAAGTTAAAAATTAAAACGAAAAATATTAAATCAAAAAACCGTTTATTAAAGAAATGTCCATCACAGCGAAAAACACAAAATTCAATCTATTTTAAAAATATAAAATAACATAAAAAACCCCTGTGGAGATAAGTGTATTTCATTTTCCATTATCATATTTGTGAAGAGAACACAATTTTTTTGTGTTCTAAACAATAAATCTTTTATTGAAATGAAACGCTTCATATCCTTACATTAAAACTTGATGTAGGAGTTTGTGGAAGAGTTGAAAAATTTTTTATTTTAAATAGTGTGCAACTATTAACATAAAAATTTAAATTAAATTTGATGTAATTATTATATTAATTTAATTTTTAAATATCCTTATTACTTTAACTTTTGCAATCTATAAAAAGTGCCAGTTATAAAATTACTATGATTTTATATTAATGTTATTGATTGCAGTTCTTCCATCTCTTGTGAATGAAACGAAACCATTTTCATTGATTAGGTAGTTAAATGGAGAATAAAATAATTCTTGTTAAGTCGCAGCAGGATATCAAATGCTTTTTTTGCATAAAATTAAAACAAAAAAGAAAACAAATATTTCTCATTGACCGCAGAGTTTAGCTGTTATAGAAATAAGTAAATTATAATATAGAAAAAAAATGTTTTAATTCTCTAAGTCTTTCATTTTCTATAAAAGCAGTTTAACATCTCATCAAAAATTCTAGTATTGTTTAATATTTCATGTGGAAAAACAGCTTTCTAGCATCAGTTTTTATTACAATAAAATATACAAATAAAAAAATTTTTTATTCACGTATCTGCATATAGCTTTTTCGAAGTGGAGAGTAAATTTTGATTTAAAAGTGAGTTTTTTTTAACCACGTTTACTTATAAAATTTGATACAGAAATTTTGAAGTTTTTAATTGATCAAAATTGAAATTAAAATGTAATAAAAGTTAATACCTTTCCAATTTTTATATTTTCTAATCAAAATCAAAACATAAGTAACTTAAAATTAATATTAAAACGGACGTTTGAAATACAGGAAATTACAATCGTTCTTTAAACAATTAAAGTAAAAAACTTGAAAATTAAACAATCAAAGTAATATTGAAAACACTCATAGTTCAACCTTTTTTACTTGGGATTTCAGGGACAAATATATGCTGCTAGTCTAAAATCTTACGCTTAAGTTCGGATGAAATAAAAGTAATCGTCAACATTTTGCTAAATGCATTACTTGAGATGAACGGATACATAGAAGTATTGATTGTCGATTTTATTCTAAAAATTAGAAAATTTTAAAATATCTTGTTTATGTGCAAAACAGAATATAAGTTAATATGATGATTAATCGAAAAAAAACCTCTTCGATTTATTTAAAAATTTTATAAGTTAGAATTATTTATTGCTACAGTAGGTCAATTACTGTTATAATAAATATTAAAACAAATTTTGGCAAATTGAATTTATAACCTTTCAGAATTAATAAATTTTTTACGTACCAAATGGTCCAGGTCTTGGTTTTATTTAAAAATAAACATTAGAAATTCTTGGTAATGTAGCAAGAAAGTTACTAGGATAATTAATTTAGTAATTTAGTGAGATAGGTTTAACTCACTAATTTAATTATTTTTTATAAAACATGTAAATGTCTCAGTTTCGCATTTCAGTAACTTTGCATTGATTAAAAAATTGGAAAAATAAAATTTAATTTTAAAATTTATTGCAGTAAGTTTATTTAGTTTTAAAATAGAAATTAGTGAATTAGTATTGAAATATAGTGAATATTAAATATAGGAATGTTAATTGCGGCTTGAGTTTTTGTTTTCGTTGAAATACACAAGAATAAATATACATGTATGTATGTAGGGGTATCAATTATGTATGCTTAAAAATTATTGCAATTAAGAGTGGATTTAAAAACTGAAACAACTTTAAATCATTGAGGCAAACTTTTATATAACAGATATATATATTTACTCGTTTAAATTTTATTTCTTAAAAAATGCATACAACCAAAACACGACATTATACTATATTAAATTTAAGCACTTCGCATCTAATGTTCAATTTCTACTATTGTAACAAGATTGCAAATCTCAAGCTGTGTACTTTTCGATTTATGTTAGTGAATATATTTTTATGATCGATCATTATGCTTTAAGAAAATAACAAGTATGTAGAAGTAAATGAAATGATTGGTAAATTACAATATTGATACTTCATTTATTTAATTAAATTTACTCTATAATATGTTGAAGTGTTCGGTATTGTACATCAATTACGTATACAAAGAAAAAATATTTATATACTTATGTAAGTGTTTGGTTAAGAATTTCTAATTTCTAGTTTGGTTTTTTTTCTTTTTGTGATTGAAGCACTCTAGGTGGCATTTAGAGAATAGGAAAAATTATAATTTTCGAGCCCGAAAATAATGTAAAAAGTGAAAGTGAATATCATATTTTAAAAATTTAATTAAAAATCTCTAGTCAATTTTTGAAAACTATTATTCTTTCAAACAAATTATTTTTCATAAAATTTGCAGTAATTCTGAATATTTATAGAACTTTAATTCACTTAATTTCGTTTACTGATGATTTAAATTACTTTTTTTTCAGACTGAAATACTATATAGCCGATTGAAGTAGGGGCAAAAGTTTAGAAGTAAATAAATAAATGATAAGCTTATTAAAGCTCAAGTTAAAGTGATAGTTCCCTAAATGGTGTTGCTTAAAGGCAGTTCAAATATGTCTGTTAAGAAAAAATAATGGGAATTTTCGATAATTCAGTACTAACTTAGCTCTTAAATACAAGGCGCCTTCCATAAATCCAAATTTCAAAATCTGGAAAAATAGCATGTTCGAAAATGACAGTCGTGTTTAAAATTCTAAAGGAATTGTTAAGTTTTTTTTTAAAACTACTGCAAAAATATTATAAATTAGAAGAGGAGCATAATCGAAAAATGTTGAATATTAAAGAGTATACTGGATGTATGCAATTATCAACATAATATTGTACTTCCAGTATAGGTAGGAGTATATTTTAATAAAATATATACCTGTACTGGAACGGTTATTTAATTTGCCGTCGGTAATGGTAAAAGTACCATAAACTAACTCTGTAACATAAAGAGAATCTTCTTTTTATTATGTTGTCAGTTAAACAGTATTCGCCCGGGATACACTTTGATATACGTACTTTTTCATATATGTATGTATGTAGTTCCTTTTTACACAAATATATTTTTTTAATGTATATTTATAAATATAAAAATGTATTTAGAATACATAATATTTTCTATTAAATTTTTTTATCATTATCTTAATAAATTTATACCTATGAAACTGTGACATGTCAACAATAAATTTTGAAAGCGATTTTTTTAAAACCACACTAAAAATAAATTTTTATTGAAAAATTTAACTGTTGTCGCACATAATTACGCAAATTCAATTCAAAGTTCGGGTAACAGGAAATATTCAGCAGAATGAGTTTTTTAAATTATTTTTCATTAATCTTTCATAACATATGCATTGAATTATGCACATAATACGTATTACAATATTTATTTTTCATGGTTAACAATAAAAAGTTAATCCTCTCCAATAAAGATATGAAAGCAATTTTACAATTTGAAGGGAAATTTAATGGAAAATATTATCTTTTAAACATTTTGAATAATTTAATTCTATAAATCATGTGTATAAATGCTATAAATTGAATTTTGTTCAAGCATATGCTTTACTATGTCTTTTATCGGTATCAGTTAAATTCCTTTTTGTGTATTACAGAAAAACAGGGTCAGAATATTTTGTGGAATGTTTGATTTTAATTTTCAATAACTAAAATTCTATTGCTATCACTTGGGCGTAAAACAAGTTCCTAAAGTAAAAATTTTTTTTTTTGAAATTCATTGTTGGATTCTTGTACAAAATTTTAATTTATCTAAAATTGAATTAGGATAAATGTTAATTATAAAGTCTTCCTTAATTAATTTAACGTTAAAAATATATAATATGTATATAAAGTCTCTAAAGTATTTTATTTGTTACATATAGATAAAAATGTAATTGGATGAGATTTTAATTAGATTTGTTAATAATACTTTTTATTTTATTATTGTCAATACAAAGTCATTAACGTGACAAATTGGTTATTTTTATTAAAATCATGACAAATTAGATGGTATCGCGGAATATCTTTGAATAATGGATTAAAAAAGGGAGAGAAGTAAAGGACGATTATTATGTTATAATAAAGTCACGTATGCCTTGTAAGTGTTATACTTTTAATAAAATTAGGCGGTAATGACAATTGTTTAATTCTATAGGAAAAAATAAAACAAGCAAAACACTAGAAACAAGGAAATTCAAATTTGATAGTGTATTTTTTCATATTTGATAGATAAGAACCATGCCAATAGCGGAAGTAATTACTCAATGTGGGTGGGAAAATTTAGGGAAACTAATTACTAATGTACTTGATATTATGGAAATCAATATTACGATATTTATCATTTCAAAAACTGTCGAAGGAAATCATTTTAAAGAATTGAATTAAAAGCCAGGGTCGGATCGGTAATTATAAGAAAATTCCTTTTAACTAAATCGGTTGATTCCAATATTTCTAATCGCCTAAAAATGTCAAACACTTTTACGGAAGAGTAAAACAAAAAAAAAGAAAGAAATTTCACTGCTAATTACCGTACTTATTTTTAATATTATACAATTAGATTAATATAATCTGTTTGAAATTAGAATTTTAATATATTAATGTTCTAATTTTAAACAGATACGCTTAAGTTATTCATTATAGAAACATACGATAGTTTCATCAAATATATAAATTTTTCCACATAATTTCTCGCAAATTCGCAAAAATGATACTCTTGTAATTACTTTTCCGTTTAAACATAAATTACCCTTCGATATAAATAAAATGTTGATAACAGTGTTAAAGAAGTATGTATGTATGTGTTCCCACAATAATAACATTTAAATAATGTTGATAAAAGTTTTGATTGATTTACGGTTACATGTTCATTTGATCCTTTGAGCTAATATCAACATTAATTTGCCTACATATGTACATATTTTACATACATGTATGGCGTGTGAATTAACAAGTATGGGGTATGATATAATACCAGCAATAATTATATAAACATGTATTTTTATGTATACAAACATTTACATATAGTATGCATATTTGTACGTTATTGGCACCCACATACCTTATCAATATTTTGTATTAATATTAGTTATATTATAAAGTTAGCAATAAATGGTTTCTAGTCGCAAAGGATCACAATTGGCGAACGGATTTAAATTCATAAATAAAATAAGAAAAAATAATTTTATGTGAAAATTAATTGAATAAAAAATAATTGTAAAAATATTAGCGGAATATTGCTAAAAATTGTCATCTAAAAATTTTAAATCAAAAAGTTTTAAAGTTTTGATAAAATTTGGAAAACAAAAATTTTAAAAAGTGTAAATTTTTTAAATAAACTACATTCATAACGGTTTTGTGCTTAACCCTATTTTTAGATGAATTAAAAGTTCTTTTAAATGGCAATTTTGAAAAGCTCATCCATTTTAGACAATCAACAACTAATTGACAAATTTTTGTTGGGTTTTGAAAGGACCCAACCAAAAACGAATTGATAGAAAAAATGCAAATGAAAAGCAAAATTTTTGGATTTTTTTTTAGAATTTTTGGAGTGAACAAAATCTTGATTTTATATGATGAATACAACTTGCATTACGGGATGATCTACAGCTATATTTCCTACAATTTCGTAGACTCACGATTTATATAACTAAATTAGTTATAAATAAAAAAAATACATAAAGCTATCCGGCCAACTCCGCGATTCTTCTGCTCTGCAGTTTCAGTATTTTCTAAAATATGATTTGATTGTTTTTGAAGCTGCTTGGAAAATACAACGTCAAATAAAAAGATTAAATAAAATTCTAATAATTATTAACATATACCCTTTTCCGATAAATAAACTCAATGATTCCTGAACTTAACTCAATTTCCATTATTGTCGGAACGTACGGACTTCCACAAGGACGAAAATAAATGTATCTATTAAAAATTTTTAAGTTCTTATTTAGAATCTTTTTTTATTTTATGTATAATTATTTTTATACTCTAACTTGAGGAAACTTAAAATTCTTGATGATATACAGTGTATGCATAGGGAAAGTGCTATATCAAGACATACTGTGCTATAGCACTTTCCTTGTTCTTTAATATGTTATAGTGATGTTGAAATTAAAACGTTGTCGTTGAAAAGCGATAAATTTCAATTTTAAACTGCTTTAGGAATAGAAATTTAATAAAGGAAGAAAATGGATGTTGCATTTGGAACAACTAAATCTCCATTTTACAATAAAATTTAATTTATTTAATTTCTTTCAGATTACAAAACAGTTTGAGTTGATCAACAAAACATAAAAAAAATGTTGGTTTATGGAGTTTGGTTTTACATAATAACAATTTATTTGAATTTATATGGATTGGTAGACTGTGGTATTATAACACCTAGAGAAATGGATATTAGAAGAATAAATAACATGGAAATACGTAAAAGGCCGTTTTGTAATGCATTTACTGGTAAAGTATTTCAAATTTTTTATTTAATCATAATTAATCTAGTATTATAAAATATATAATTCAAATATATGCGTAGGTTGTGGAAAAAAAAGATCAGCCATACCTTATAACTTACATGAACTTAATGGAAATTCTTTAAATAATAATGTTCAGAATAATCCAAACAGCAACAATAATAATAATCAGAATCAGAATGGACAACCTGAAGAATTGGATAGTTCTTTGACTGATCTAATTGATTTAAATGCTGAACCAGCTGTTGAAGATTTAATGCGTCAAATAATGTCTCAAGGTATTGACCGGAATTTTTGTAAAAGATTCAAATATTCTATGCTATGAATTTGCTATTGCGCATAAATTCACTTTTAAATTACACAAATAATAATCATTAATTATACCTAATTAATTTAATTTTTCAGGTTTCAAAGTTTTTAAAAAGGATTTTTTTTCTTACTCTTCTTGCGTGCATAAAGCTTCTCCATGACATCTCCACCTCATTTTGTTTCGTGCTTAAGTCGTGCTAGTCAAGTAAAACTTAACCCCATGTTAAACTTGATTTTTCTAGTTCTGATTTTACAGATCTACGCCAAGTGTTCTTTTATCAGGGTGTGTCTCATTCATTTCAATTTCTTTCTTCTTATATATCTACCGACAGGCTCCTCGCCTTGTTTTATCGAAAGATCCCTGTTACTTATATATGTTGGGCAGAATATTCCGCTTATTATTCTGAGGCATTTTGATGAATATTTGCAACTTCTAACTGAGGGATTTTGATGTTCGTCTATTCGCTGCCATACAACAGAACCGATTTTATAAATGATGGAAATATTCTTAGCTTGATTGCTCTGTATATCTGGCTGCTTCTCCATATCGGTTGTAGTCTGCCAAACGCTGTTCATGCTTTCTTGAGTTTGTTGTCTACAGCTACTGGGACCTGTCTAGGAGTTTATTTTCATCGCGTTAATTTTTCTATATGTTTATTTCTACACCCACATGTTGCTGGTTGTCCAAGGTGATTTAATTTGCTTTGCATGTCGCTGATCTTGTGAGGGAGAAGGCAGATATTATTCATGTAACCCAGATGTATCTTCTTGGTGTTGGAAGAAATTCGAGATTATTGAATTACTTTCTCTGTAGGCAGGCGACTTGTAGTATGTTGTTTGGCACGATTGTAAGGAGCAGCAGGGAAAGTGGGCAACTCTAGTTGACTCCTTATTGGTTGGTTGGTGAGCTCGGATTCTTTGTACAGCGCTCGAATCGTGCGGCTATTTTTTCTGGGGATCTCCTGTTTTTTAGAGTCTTTCATATTGCATCGGATTTAATTTTGTCGATCTTTCTTTTTGATATTAGAATTATCTTTTTGATATTAGAATTATCTGCTCTCTATCTATAAAACTCCAACACCGTTCAATTTAGAATAATTAAAATTTTGTAATAAAAAATAGATTTTATTAAAATTGTTAGGTTCTACCCCTGCCATCAAATTTTTTACGAATTACATATATACAAACTTCAGTAGAATTAAAATTTGTTTAAAATCTTATTTTTATATTTTTTAGCTAAATTATGGGAAGCTATACAAGAAGCAAGTCGAGAGATTCAATTACAAAGGCATCATAATGATCGTGGATCTGAACAACCACGTTTTCCAAATTTTAATGCACAGTAATAAAATAATATCAGAAGAAGAAATTGAAAATTAAACATAATTCTTACGATTTCCGAAAAAAAATTTTTAACATTAAAAAAATAAAAAACAAATAATCAAATTATAAAGGAGAATTAAATAAAATAAAAATTGAATTAAAAATATTCAATATAAATTAAAAAAATTAAAATCAACTTAAATTATGTAAGAGGCCAGAGAAATATTTTTTAAAATAAATAAATAATATTGTATATTAAATACACAAGAAATATATATATAATATGTATATGTATAATAATAATGTAATATAATTATAATAATAATGTAACGCTTTGTCAGTTCTTTGCATAAGTAGAAAATATATACTTAATATTATGGTTTTTTGTCAAGCAAAATTAAAAATAAATTGTTGATTTTTTCATAAAATTTTCATAATATCTATTTTTTTTTATTTTTTTAATATTTTTAACATTTACATCAAAATGGATACGTTAAAAATATTATTTATATTTATTATTATATTAATTAATTTTTAAGTGTACATATATATATGTATATATATATAATCCACATATAATAATATAAATAATGTTTTATTGATAATTATGTCATTTATTAAATTATTATTTATAGATAAAATATGACATATGTATGTAATATTCTTAAAGTTTTACAATATAAATTTGCTGTACACAAACATATTAACAATATTAATTGAGATACATATGCATGTATATATATGTGGTAATACATATGCAATATTGTGTGCATGGATTTATCCAGGGTGTTAACAACAACAAAATTATTAAACATATTTTTCTTATTAATTATTATGAAATATTTAATATTATAAAATAATATAGATATATATACATTTATATATACATACATACATAATATATAAAATATATAAATATTTAATTAATAATAGTGTGTTTTTTTTTTTTATTTTTTGCAGAGATTGAAGTTTTTTTTTTGACGTTATTACTTTTAATCACAATTACAATAGTAAAAAATAAAATTTATAAAAACTAAATGTCAAATTAATTATTAATGATCAATTTGTACGAATTTTTCATTTTTAGTCAACATATAAAATTCGTGCAAGTTGATGGTGTGTTTGTGGGTGACACTATTTTTTTGGCATTTTTTTGTTAATTAAATTTTTAATTTTTAATATTTAAAAAAAGTCCAATAAAAATTTATTTAATGAAATAAATAGAAATTTTTTAAATATTTATTAAATTAATTAATTTTAATAACATTATTTAATTATATAATAATTTGAAGTTTTAATGAATTCAATATAATAGTTTGTATTTCAGACATTCGGAAGCTTTAAAAATGTCCACATATTAATAATATTTTTTTATATAATTAAAGTGCTTTATTATATGTATGTAATTTTTTTTTCAAATTTTTAAAATTTTTTTTAATTAAGGAATTCAAAAATTTGGAAAAAAAACAAAGAATTTTTTCAAATTGTTTTCTTATATTAGCTATACATATAAATTTGTTGTACTCAATCAATTTTTGTCATCATTAATTTTTTAATGATGACGTCACACATATTCAATCTTTCAAAATTTTAATAGTCTAATTCTTTTTGTTGTATATTATTTGGTTGCGGTGGCAATTGTTGCTGTTGTATTTCTTGTAATTGATGTTTTTTTTCAGCATATTCTGCTTTTCTTGTATTAAGTGCTTTTCTTACTTCAATTTCCAATGATTTTGAATCATGTTGAATATCATCGATTATTTGTTCTAAAACTCGATAATTTATATTTGGGTCATAAATTTGTTCATCTGAAATAGAATTAATTAAGAAAGCAGTTGGAGTTTCTAAATCAGATGTAGTCGAAAATACTGATGAGGATCCTGAAGAAGATGGTAATGTTGATTTTGCAGATTGTAGTTTTAAAAGCGATGGATCTGATCTCTTTCGTAAATAATTAAAACAGCATGTTCTACACATAATCAATAATTACGTTAAAAGAATATTATTTATTTAAATATATAAAGTTAATATTTTTTTGTATAATTATGATTACCTAAAATGTTTTGTTCCACATGCTCTGGTACATTCTCTACCACATGAATCACATGATATTGCGTTAGAAATTGATGCCATCCACATTAACAAAACTGTAAATTATTTATGTACAAAGTTATAAATGAACATATTACATAAAAAGTATTTAATATAAAACGATTACTTACTATAAGGATTTTACTATTGCAAAATAAAACTAAAACCTAACTAAAAGCGTAATTATTTATAGATGGGAAGGGAAGGAAAAGGAAAAGGGGGGAGGAAAAAATAATATTAGTATAGTATTAATTAAGTATTAATAAGCAAATTAAAAATTTAAACAGCTAAAACCAAACGTGCATGATTTAATGTGCGGCGATTTAATAGAAAGCGTCACATAAACTAGAAATAAATTAAACAAAATCGGTGCTACTGTATAGACTGGCCTTAAGCAGCCTCTTACTTATGTTCGTACAAACAGACGAATACAAGTTGATTTCGCGTAATATACGCGTCACTGACTCGTGCATCTCATAATCCGTACTATGACGCGGACCATTGAATAGCTCGACCTGTAAATAAAATCAGGCAAGCATTTTACTCACTATAATTGAATGAATGAAAACTATATCGGAAACCACCCTATGACAACGAAGGGACCTTAAGTCCAAAACCTGAAGCCTATTTCATAAGGGGGTAATCTAAACGGAATCGACCAATCCATACCAAAAAAAGCAATGAGAAGGAAACACCTCCCGAATTCAAAACGATCAATATTAACATTACAAAGAGGAAACTAGACCTGATATATGTACAGAAAAACGGGCCTCACGAAAGCAACATAAAGATGTTTCGCCATAATAAGGTCATTAAATTTCCCCAATCTCATGACAGAACCTAGAGTAATTCACCCTATTAACCATCAAATTGATATGGGTTTTAAAATCGAGCCTACAATCTAACGTAACATCTAAATGACAAATTTGGTCAAGCGTATTTAGAATCTGCCATTTATCCTGTAATCAAACCTTATCCTTGCAGAATAACGCCTCCTGGAGAAATTTAATAGCTGACATTTGCCTATATTAAGCTCCGCACCATTAGAACGTAAATCAGTAAAAATTTTGTTTTCCTTTTTGTAATTTGTAAAGTACATTTTTTTTAAAGCACGTACTTATAATGTACATGCTCGCTTTAAATTGGACAGTCATACAAAGTTTCTTTAACTTCAAATTTTCCTAATTTTATCAAAAGGAAAAGGATTGTAACTTAAATTAGATCTATGTATTTAAATGAGGTGGTGGCATTCATAATTTTAATTTTAAGAGCTTAGAAAATTTCTCAATTCAAATTTTACTAAATTTATGAAATCTATTATACTAAATAATGTTAATATTAATTAATATTTTATTTAGTGTTAAAATTTTTCTTCAATGTACTTATTTCAATTAATAACTAAATTTTGTTTCATATGTATAGACATACATACATTGTTTATATAATTACTTTGATAATTTACTTAATTTATAACTACTAATTTTTACAAAGGCTACTTACTAAACATAAATAATGAAAAATAAATCCTTGAATTTAAATAATTGTAAATTTTTTTATAAGTTTTCATTTTTCCTTTTGCAATTATCTCAAAAAATGTTAAAATAAATTGATATGTATAGGATTTTTTTTTTAATTTTTTAATATCACTGTTAACACAATACTATTGTCTTTAATGCAGGCGTATATCTTTTAAAACTATTTAATTAAAATGAAATTTTATAAATAAAAATAACTAAAATATCAAAAATTGATATTCTCTTTCACTTTTTATAATTTTTTCTTTTTCAACTTAATTTTAATCCTATGCTAGCAGTATAGCCACTACTGCGATTTGTTTAGCGTATAATGTTCACCTGTTGAATGTGAACTAAAATTTGCTTTCACATTTTGTAGTGATGCTCCTTTATATAGAAAAATGACCAGAAGGATCAAAGGATATTTAAATTGTGGCTTAGTGTAGTAGATATTTATGTATATGTATACTCTTAACAAAATTTATAAAAAATATTAGATAATGTGGTGCCAAGAGAAAAAGTGAATATGGAAGGAGTTTGTAAAGTGTGGAAACAAAAAAATTTTTGAACAGTTTAATGTTATCGTTGGATGAGAAAATTTTAAGAATTTAAGCATACACAGAAGTTACACAGATTTTTCTTTTAAAAATTTCGTACAAATTCATTACGAAGTCAATGCATGTATATTAGACGTCTTTTTAATACAAGTTGTCATGTAGCTAACACCCAATCTTATGTTCCTGGGAATCGACCTAATAAAACCGAGGCAGTCATGTTAACCACAAAAAGTTGGTCAATAAAAAGTGTGTGTATCAGAAACCACCATACGACAAAAAACTGAAGCCTAATTTTATAAGGGGCAATTTAAATTGACCCGACTAATCCACAAAAGGATCATACGTACATTTAAAGTAACATTAAAAAAATTTTATTCTGACGGTCCAATGTTGTAATAATTGATTGATCCATTAATACTCGTATAGTAACATTCTATATAAATAGTCTTCATTAAAGAAATAGTGAGGAACGATGTAAATGAATTTAAATCGCAATACAAATATTTGATTACTGATTTGCATACATATACATGCACACATTTGGAATTGTTATATTATGAACCAATATAGAAAAATCGTTTTTGTGAAATTACTATTAATGAAGAAAATTATTTTAAAACAACATATAAATTGTTTTTGGGGAAATGTGCTGACTTACAAGCCCTTTATTTTGTTTTCGATTTATTAAATTGTAATTTTGCGGGGCAAAAAAAATTATATAAAACTTTAAGAAATGAGACTTTACTTAACCAATCAAAGTGCAGGTCATTTTTCTTGTACATTTACATGCAAAAAATATTAAATAGGTAAGTATTTAATCTGCATGTTCAATAGATCAAGAAAAGTTTTGTTTTTATTTAACTTTTTTATTTGAAAGTTCATTAAAAGTTTATTAAGGTTGGAAACTCTATTGGAAAAATGTTATAATGTTAATTTGTTTGGTTTTTAATTAAAAATTTTACAAACAAAATTAAATTTAATAGAAAAGAGAATAATTAAAAGTTTTTGGATGATTAGAATTAAAAATTCTATAATTTAATTTTAATTATAATTTTAAAGTAGTTTATAATCTTATAACAACTCGACTTTTTTGAAAACTGTTATTCATTTAGCCAAAAAACTTCAATAATAAATTTTTTAATTAAGATATAAGTATGAACGTGGTTCCGAGGTTATGGTCCAAGTCTACCTATTTCTAAAAAATTAATACAAATTATTAAGCACAATCCTACTGCAACTATGATAATTTAACAAAAACATACTCAAGTTGCCTTAACTTGAAGCTCAAATTTGAAATTCTTAAAACTTACAAATTGCGAGTATTCTTTAGTAGTTTTACTGTTATTGGTTGCCCATAGAATTTCATGGTTCTCAAAATTTCCGATGTAATTTTTCCAAAGTAGGTACTGAACTTCGTAGTCCCATCATATGAATAGTAGTCGCGAAATTTTTTAAAGAATTGTAAAAGTTTTATAATTTTCTTTGAGTTGATCGCAAAAAATTTATTCCATGCCACTGTAAATTGTAAAGTAAATTTATATAAAAGATATAACTTTTACTATTAAGTATGTATAAAAGTAAACTTTCTTTATTATTAACGGATTACATTTACGTATAGTTATACATAGATAATAGCGATTAAAGATATTATAAAGAAAGGCACGTAGTTCTCATTTTAATAAGATTTTTGATTATTACCTATAAATAAATAATTTTTTCTCTATTATTTAAATTCAGTACGCCTTTTTAGCAAAGAGATTATTTGACTACGCAAACGGTGCAGACTTTTTATAATTTTTTGTAAGAACGTAAACTGAATATTTTATTTTGAGGAATTTTTTGAACTTTTTAAAACAGGAATAGCAATATATGAAATTTTCGGGTTATTTGTACATTCAACTCAATTGATTCGTATTACCAAATAAGATGATTGCTAGTTGTAATATGCATATGAGTATATTTTTATTATATTAGATAGCAATTTAGACAATTTCTAGCACAGGCTATTCAAAACTTTGAAAATATTTTTAATAATTTGATGTCAGGTTTCGATTTAGAATGACGATTAGAAGAGCAATGTGAAAAAGTTCTTTTCTATTTATAATTAAATATTTTGTGGGGTGGGAATTAGATTACAAGGCTTGGAAATTAGAAACTGGACATCACTACAGAGAAAATTTTACAGAATTAAAAATAATTTAGTTAAATCAACACTATTGCAGGCATCAAACCTATGAACATATGGCATATTCTGAATTATTAAGAAAAATTGCAAAAAAAATTGTTTTCGGGAAGGCTAATTTACTTTAACATTTTACTACTCTGCTCTCGTTTCTTACAATTATGTTTATAAGGTTAAAAACTTGCTTTAAAAAAAAATTTAGACCAAAATCTTGGTTAATATACAATATTCATAGAGATTGTATTGAATTTTTTCTTTATCGCAGCATTGAAACTAATAATTATATGATCTTAGAACAAATTAAGGTTTTAAAGATTTTACACGAATGCATATGGAAATTATTGTCCATATTTACATATCGTTATTGTCCTTTTTGTGGGCAATTAGTATGTAAGTATATCTAAGTTATTGAGTAATTATTGATTGTGTTATTACGTAATCAAAAAATTAAAAGCAACATATTCCTAACACAATTACATACGATTGAATAATCATGTATGTAAGTATGTATATGACCAGAATGTTAAAAATTTTCTTTTAAATAGATTCACAATAATAACGTACATTTAATTATGGGTCTAAAATCTTTGAGTATGCATAAGCAAATATAGTTATATACTTCTGTACGTTAAAATATACACAATATCAACCAATGGGACATTTGTATATAAATTGCGTATAATTAAATTTTTTCAACTATTAAAATAAATTGTATAATAGAAATTGACATTAAAAAAATATCATGTTAAATCTAACAATTTCATGGAAAATTAATTTCTTGTAGTTTTTTAAGAAAAAAATGAATTTCCCATTATTATAATCTCAGATTATTATGTAATAAACACATTGCATACATATAAATATTATGTACATACATACGTATGTATGTATTTATATAAAATTAAAATAATGAAAAACATCACATTTACTATACCAAATTTAAATAATATTTTCATATTCACATTGAATTTAAATTTGTGGCACAAATATGAAAATTTGGTTTCTGCAAATAACACATTAGCCAGAATGCTTTCGCCTTTTTTAAACCAGCTTTTATATTATTTTCTCAAGGAAACAATGCTGAAATATGTATGTATATAAAAAGTGAAATGGTGAGCATTGAAGAATGGAATTTAAAGAACAAGAAGAAACAAAGTGTTCTTCGCAACAAAAACAAACCTATCAAGAAACTTCAGGAAAAATAAACCTAAAACAATACAAACAATTTACAACTCTGGACCACGAAGCTGTAGACTGTGAAGTACATATTGCGAATAGATCTCGATCTAGCCAAAATTAAAGTGCTAGAATTTTCAAAGGAGTAAAACAAGAAAAACTGGAACTGTGCTGTCAAGTTTGACAAGCTACCAATCATCGTGGAAATAAATGAGTTTGTTTTTCAATAACTACCTTATTGAAAATACGGTCGATCGATTAAAACTGAAAAAGCTGCGTGAAAACCAATGGTGAAATTTTGAATTCCAAATTATTGGAAGACATATCATAAGAACTATATTACAGAAAATCAATATTCAATTATTGTCATGTGCTTTCTCCGTTGCAAAAATTCAAGAACCCTGAATTAGGTAATATATTAAGATATAAAAGAAATTCTTTTTTTTTTTTATTGGTATGAAAAGAAAACTTCCTTTTATTCGGAATAAAATACTTTTTTTTTATTGTTTGCTAATATATTTCGTGCGCTACATACGCACTTTATTAAAGCTGATTTTCTTCTCTGAAGAGAATAATAAAAAAAAAAAAAAGAATTATACTTCGGAAAAATTATCAACCATTGAAAAAAAAATTTTTGAATATGAAAGAAAATTTTTAAGTTTGTAAAGAATACACTATAAAATGTGCACATTTGTGTAAACTCAGTGTGATGAATACGCGCTTTGTGGTTTTAAATTGAATGTGAAGTAATTATAATTGTGATTATATGTATATGCTAGTGATTATATATATTAAAAAAAATATTTTGTGAAATGCTAGTAAAAATGTTGCCATTCAACGGCCATGTTGAATGTTGCCATGACAACACTACACAGAGGCGTTGATACTCGTATTGCAGAATTGCCACGGCATTCATCGGAATCTGTCAATGGAATCTAGCAATGGTGTAGGGCTCCTTATGAGGCCGGATGGGAATTACACTGAGACCAGGGAAGAAACGCTTCAGCTCTTGCTTGGATGGCAGAGGCATTTTTGGTGACGGTTTGGCTTTACATGATCACAGAAGGCCACTGGGGCAGGTCTGGACTCTAGCTAATAAAATTGTTAGCTATGAAAGGGCTAAATGGGGCATAAGGTCGTTGAAGCCCTTTATAATAGCAAGGCGAGGACTATGTCGCCCTCATCCTCACGAGGCTTTTTAGGGTCAGTCTTGCGTTTGGTTATCTTCTGCGTACATGGTCCAGTGCGCTGGTGACTTTCATTCCCAAGGCTGGCAGGGTGACGACTAGTTATCCAAAATCGATGAGACCGATCACTTTGTCGTCATTTACCACCGACATGGCTCTGCTAAACTTCACCTCTAATATGGAGGAGTCGTTGGAGCAAAGGGAAATTGCTTTGGTCGCCTTTATATAGGGATATATAGA